TCCACCTTATTCAAGGGTTACTGATAATTTCGTAACCTATTCTAAATTACAGCTTTAAGTCTAACTTTGTCCACTCAATAAATTTCACTAATTTGTGCTTTGTAGAGATGAAAATAAGTTGGGTTTCGAAGACTCCCTTTGTAGATTGGATTGACGAGGCCAGATGAAGGGAGTTTTGACTAAACATTGGTTTGAATACGAAATCCTGTTCTGATAACGTTTGTAACGGGAAAAAACCCGAGTAATTGTTCGCACAAATCTGCATACACAACTTCATAGCTATCATTCGCCTTCAGAAAAGGCTTTCTATTAGCCTGGACCCAAAAAGGAAAGGCTATTCCAACTTTATTTTTTGTTTTCTGTGCAAGCTTGCAGAAGATAAATGTTGCTACAGATGACGCGTAAAGGCATCAGAATAAATAAAGAATACGACACCATGACAGTTTCTAGAAGGAATATTCGGTTTAAGATGATGAGAAATCAACAGTAATTCTTCATTAAGTACTTAGTCGCCTTGGATCGTTTAAGGCAAGATAAGCAGTAATAAATCAGATATATGAATTGTTTTCACCCTATTTCGTTTAGGGTGATGAAGGAATGGAAGTTGATTTTTCCCACATTAATATGATTATAGCTGATGTTTTCCAGTGCATTTCACATCGCCTTGCTTTCCCAAGAGCTGTTTTCATCCAGGGTGGACTGCACTTTCCGTCTTACATAGGTCTTATCAAAACCACAAGTGGAAGTCGAACCGTGACAGTGCAGCTTGTAATCTCGACACCTTAACCCCCCTGCCACATTGCCAAGGGTGCCCATTGGTAACAGGGCAGATGTGAATTTCAAGGAGTGTCGGGCATTCTCCATATCACATTCTGTGTTGGGATTGTCGATGGAGTAAACTTATATTTGGGGAGGCAAGGTGATGTGAAATTCAATGGAAAACATCAGCTCTACTCATATACTTGTGGGAAAACTCAATTACCATCCTTTCATCACCTTAAAGGGAGTAGGGAGAAAATAAATCATATATCTGATTTACTGGTAATCTCAAAAAAGTAGTAAATAAGTTTTTGCCATGCATAGTTTGAAATCAGAATCCTCAATGAAATTAAAAACCGGAACAGTCCCGAGTTCCCATGTTTCACGCAGGAGATAAGAATGTATTGACTAGAAAAGTCTTTCGCAAATCGCATTGTTAATATGGCGTTTTGATGAAGTAAACATGCATTTTCCAGTAAAACCGATGACACTACTTGTACTGAGTAGGAGTATATTTCAAAATAATCATTGATTCCTGAGCAATAACTCAGAAGCTCACAAATATATGCTTGTATTGACTAAACTAGATTGTCTGAACTAAACGTGATTCCGTACCTGGCCATTGTGTTTGCTTATTTAACATAACATCAAAAATAAATAATTTACTGGTAGATATGAAGACCACAGCCTCCCTGATCTTCCGCTTCATGGTGTTTTCCTTATATGAAATCAATCTTTCCGTTGCATTCCGATAAATTGTGTGGCCGGTAATGAAGATGTGATCAGCTATCTCCTGTCTTTCTGTATCCATTTCTATTCATAGTCGATTGTGCCGATTGTCCTTCCCGCTTCTCCGATGTATTTTGGTTTACAGTCGTTGCAGTTTATGCTGTAACCTCCAGAGCATACCATTCTGCTGACCTCTTCATGTTGTTTGGGCAATCTGGTGAAGAGGGTTGTCTTTTCCTTGCTTGCATTTTCCTAACATCTCCATTCTTCCATCTGTTCATCAGCATCCGTATGTTGTGGTGTATTGCTGCTTCTAAGTAACTGTTTCCAAGACACATTTGAATTAGTTTTCCCAGTTTCTCTTCCCAGAATTTAGAATCAGTGATTCGCAAGTTTCTTATACCAAACTTCATTCCATAATTATGGTTCGACTGGAAGTTAATAGTTATTCAAGCATGTTTTTGCTTTTGGAAAATTCTTTTCTTGAGAGCGAATGACCTCCACATCCAAGAAAGCTAAGTGTCCGTTCTATTCTGAATTCGTGGTAAATTTGACTTTTTTATCAATTTCGCTTATGAAGATTAGGAAATCATCTAATTTTTCTATTCCATGCTACCAAATTTCGAAGTAGTCATCCAACTATCGCAGTATTACTGTTGGCTGCCAGGGTGACATGTTTAAATCTACCTCCAACATGTCCATGATGACATTAGCCAGCAGAGGCGAGAGTGTTGAGCCTGTAGACAGGCCAAATATTTGTTCATACATGCGGGCGATGAACGTGAAATAGGTCGCTCTAATT